AAAAAAAAAAAAAAAACACAAAAGAGAAAAATATACACTTCATCACCATTTTTTTTTTTTTTGTTTTGTATTCTACCGGATTACAATAAATCCTATAATAAGAAACACCAAAGCTACAATAATCCCAATCAGAATTATCTTATGCTTTAACGCTGTATTCTGCATGCGATTCACAATCCGTCGTGAGTCCATCACCTCCGCGTCGGCATCATGAATGGTATTCCGAATATTTTGTATGGTCTCTGTCTGTGCCCGAAGTGTATTTAATGTTGAGATGCCTGTATCCTGCGCGCCCTGCAGGAGTGACTCCGCCTTCTGCAGCACCGCCGTACCGCCGCGCAGTCGCGATGTGTTGTCCAGCATGCGTGCACGGTCCTCATCCTCCACATCCCCCAGCAATCCGCCGTTGTTGTGGTAATAGTGATTACTATTATTATTATTGTTATTATGATAACTGCTGCCGGTGAGAAGATCACGTCTGTCCGCCTCCCGCGCCTCCTGCCGCAGCCGCGCCATTTCCTTCTCCATCTCCACAACGGTCTGTTTGCACGCCGCCACCTGCCGCTTCGCCTCTTCTTGTGCAGATCGCTCAGACACATCGTTACTCTCATACGACATACTCGTAACGAGATCCCGCAGGTGTGCTACGCCCTGCTGCAATACATGCAACTGCTGTGCACGGTCCACAGAGCCATTCACTACTCGTTCGGTAGTACTAATGGGTACAGCTACAGGTGAAGTTCCTATTGTTGTTGTTGTTGTTGTTGAGATATGCGATTGTTGTTGTTGTTGTTGTTTTTGTTGTACTTGTTCACCGTTCTCTTGGGAGATCATCGAGTTGCGAAGACTCTGCGCCGTCGCCTGTAGTCGTTCTACACTCTCATTGAAGTCTTCCACGTACGATGCAAAAAGACCAGATGTCATGATTACTTTCCAATTTGTGGGATTTAATGAACCCGATAAAATAAAGACAGTTCTTTCAAAATGAAAAGAAGAACAACACATTTTTATTCACAATAGTGAGGGGGAAAAAAAAACACATATTTAAGAAAGAGAAACAGTTCCTCGAGCATTCATTAATACATGAAAAAAAAAGGGGAAAAGGGGGGAGGAATAGGCAGGAATAGATAGATAAATAAAGAAAGAAAGAAAATTGTATAAGAAATCGATTGTCAGTAGCACATTATTCCTTTTCTTTTCTGGTATTGGTTGTAATTTTTTTTTTTTTT